ATCTCTGTGGATAAATCTCAGTACTTATGAAATAAAACTCCATACGCAACCTTCTCATAAACATCGTGATTATAAAAGTAAGAAAGCACCTGTACGGTAAATCACCATTTTTTTTGCGAATAACGCTGCCTAAAGAGTGTCGTTCTATAAAGGGAAAAATGGCATATTTTGTCTGGAAGAGAGTAGATCGAGGTTCTAATCTCTAGCTCACGAACACAGACGGATTTCCGGCTTCCCGTGTGTGTTCCCAGGCTCCCAGGCCAGGCTACCTAATCACAGTTTTGACCTTTGGTTTAAAAGTGGAGGATTTCGGAAATTTGAGACATTTACAAGTGTTAGTTTAGGCTGGAGCCTCACGTGAACTACGTGGGAGGCCAAGCACGAAAACCGGAACTATCGTTACATCTTCGCGTTTTGACGCAGAAAGATTTCGTGACCCTTTTCTTTATGTCACGCACATTAAAGCGTGCGGTTGAACGTGTACATACATATCCGTACAATATCTAACAAGATGAAGCTGTGATCGCTCGGTTATATTGGCGAGAGATCGAGGACATGATATTTAAATTATTAGCCGCTATTTGTTACAGTGATGCTCTTGTTTGTCAGCTTTCACTACATGTGTCTTGAAGCTTGTTGACAATGGGAAGTGCTATTTTGACTGCTCTATAAAATTATATATGGCGCGGATGGCAACCCGCCTTTCTCAGGCGGTATTGAATACCTTAATGGGCGCTGACATAATACCTACATTTTGTCGCGGATTTTGTTAATCCTGCCCAAATGTTCAACAAAAACCTCCCTACTTTGTTGTTAAACCATGCATTGGGAAATCGACATCAATTGACCTTCTCACGCGGCTGAGTATTCTTCGAATTCAGGTGACACCTTGAGCGAACCTCAGGTATCAATGGATATTTCACCTCTTCCAGTTACATTTTCAGCTGATTTATTTTTTAAATTTAATAATTTTAATCCCGTGGCCCTGACATGCAACAAACTGTCCATGCACTGGTCTCGTGCAGTTTGGGAGCATGCCAAATTAAATGTACAAGTTCATTCAAGGTCGCGGAGCACTGGAACTAAACTGTCATCTTTGTCGCTTCCTTTGTCATGCGAAACATGTAAATCTACACTGCATTTATCTGTATCGCACTTTTGTAATATATTTTTTTTCCACAATAGCGCAGCTAGTATGTCAAGTTTAGAGAAATTGCTCCAAGAAATCGGCCGGTTAACAAACTTTTCGCCCGACCAGGTAAGTACGATGTCGGTAACGTTTTTCTGGTTTCACTTCATTAGCCATAATTTATGTGTCTAAACAGCTGGGACATAAAATTGAGCTTAAGCGTAAATCAGTCTGGCTGTTTTACTCTTCATTGCAATTTCTGAGCTGTTAATTTACCGTCAAGTGTAATAAATTTTCGTTTCAGGTGAATTTTGTATTTTGTATGTTGTTATGTTTTCCACTTGGCACTGCGTTCCGAGTCGTTTTGCATCCCAGCCGCGTTTCTGCCATCACAAGACGTGCTGCAGGCCTTGTGTGGGGATTAGCTATAACGTGGTTTTGTTTTGAACGGTAAGATGTACTTATCAGCTAGCTAACAATATTTTCAGCGGAAAAAAATCTTTATTTGCTAAGTTTCGCTTATACAAAGCAAAGTGATTAATATTTAATTCTATATATTTCAAATGGCTGGTGGATTAAATTATTTGTTGACTTCTCCCTGAAATGCTAAATTATAGCCTGCGAGAGTTCGAACATACGCCTATCTCGGCTTAGTCAGGCTACCTACATTAGAGCTGAAGCCATTTTTTCGCTTGCTCTCTTGCACATTAAACGAGCGAAACAGAATATAAACAGTCATTATTTTTATTAACTTAAAATAAAATACACGTAATTAAAATTTCCGGTGGACTTGGAGGTGGGGGGGAGGGTGTATTTAACTCTATTGCTTCCGGTGGACTGAGGGGAAGGGGATCGTTTCCCCACCCTCCTCCCTGAAGAGAAAACACTCCCCTCTGATGTAAACAATTCTCAACTGTGGTGATTCTGAACTTTTCCTAGAGATACAAAAAAAATTTTGTCTATACCCCTAACCCAAAGCTCTAAGCAGATTTAATTTTGCGCGAGAATGAGACAATGAGAAAAGTGAGCTTGTGAGATGTAATGAAATTGAGCAGCTCTGAAAACCCCCAATTAAAGTACTAATGTTTGTTTCATTCGTCTTATGGCAGGCAAATTTTGATATTAATCAGTTTCAGTGCGGTTTGTTATTTTCTCACATGGCTGTTGAACCCTTCAGTTGTTCACAGGTAAGATGAATTTGCTCTTTTTTCAAATTTGATAGGTAGCATAGTATTAGTCATCTGGGAGGTGGGGTGGCCCAGTGATTAGTATGATGGACCCCAGGTTTGAGCCTGGCCAGGAACATTTTGTTGTGTTCGTAGACAAGACACTTTACTCTCACAGTGCCTCTCTCCACCCAGGTGTATTATGGGTACTGGCAAATTTCATGCTGGGGGTAACCCTGCGATGGACTAGCATCCCATTCAGGGAGGAGTAGAAATACTCCTAGTCACTGCATGCTGCAGAAACCAGGGTAAGCTCAGGCTGTATGGGTACTGGCCTGATGCAGACTTTACCTTACGGTATCCCATGGCTAGATCTATCTAAAATCATTACACAGTTGAAGGGCATGGTGGTAGGGGTATCATCTCATTGGGTTTCTGGGCAAGACATTTCCCCTCAAAGAGCCTTTGTGACCCAGTGGTATCATTGGGTGGTTTAGTATGTGATAGACCTGGAGAAGCAACATATGAATACACTAAACAGGGAGCAAAAGATTCATTCTCCATAACTGAATGGTTTAGCAATCTATTTAATGTCAGTTGGGAGAATTTGGTGCTAGATAAATGTACTGTTAACTTGATGATTTTTTGTTCTTGAAGGGATTACGTGACAAAAATTGTATCATTTATCCATAGACCTTTTGCAACAATTGGACACGTGACTTGCTTTTCAAGAACACACTGATTTAGTCATTGGTAATGCATAATGTTAATTATCAGAAATGGAAAGAACATTTACAAATAAGCTTACACGCAAATTTTCAGGTTTATATTCTTTAAGAGGGATCTTTTGTATGGATGCTGGAAATTAGAAGGATTTGTATGGGAAGAAGGTGCGTAGCCCTCATGTCATGCTCCACTGATTTTCCAGACAAATCCTTGGAATTTTGCAACTTTTTAAACTGCCATAAGATATTTATCTTTCGGTTTAAGAGCCTAGAATTTTCCATCCTACCTAATTTTTTACCCCTCTTTCTTTTTCTAATTGATTTGTTTCAGCAGCTTCTTTTTGTAGTGATAGATAACAGAAAAGCTTTCTGGAGGGCAAAGCTTCCTCACTTCCATGCAAAACCTTCTAATTTTTGCAAATATTCAAATCATCATAAATCTCAACCTTATGTGGCACTGATCTGAAAATTGGTGTTCTGGCTATTTAAAACATGCTCTTTCCAGTTCTGAAATTCATATAAAACTATGTAGTAAAAAGTTTAGAAATTAGCAGTCACATGACTGGTCATGCAAAAGGCCTACTGGGATTGCAGTGTTAAATTAAGCTGCACTGCACAGCTTTGTTTGAGATTTCTTGCCTATATATATTTAATGTAAAATTTTCTTTTAAAATATTCTTTCAAAGATATGTATTGGCAGTGTCCATGGGATTCCTGTCTGTCGCTCATCTCCACAGACAAATTACTGACTATGGAGGCTACACTTTGGATTTTACTGGGTAAGTAATTCTGTCAGTAAATTATATCACAGTATTGTAGTTTTCAAAATATTCCTATACTTACAGGCCGGTTCTATTTGACACTCTCCTGGAGAAGAAAAAAAAAGTAAAACCCACAACTCCTTGTTTTTGTAACGTACCGCTCCCACACATGGGGGAGGAGAGTACATGTTTGATGAACACAAAAATCATCTGCGTGGAAGGCTAATGCCATTCTGTACATCAGTTGGTATCTCTGACCACTGCCCTACAGGAAGCTTGATTTTAGTTGAGCAGCATGCACAAGTCTCCCATCTGCTTAGTGGTTTGAGCATGGGACCAGTATAGGTCATAAAATTATCCTACTCCCATCATTGTTCCTCTGTACGTGGCATCCCTATAATAAGTAATGTCAAGTGCAAAGTCTGGTGCCTTATTTCCAGTTTCTGTCACACAGAACACCTTGAAGTATTCCAGAATTTACTCCCTCTTCCTCCTAGATGCAATGCTAATCCATCACAGTACTTAAGTGTTACAGCCCAACGTTAAATTTACTAGTACTGGTTTATGCGTCCGGAATAAAGTGTCTGCCCAAGAACACAACACAATGGCCCTGAACTGAGCATGAGACTCCTTGATCTGGAGTCCACCACTATAAGCACTGCTCCTTCCAATGATGGTCGGCATGATAAGGCACATGCATTGTGATCCTTAAAAAGATATAAATTAACATGAAATCCCAATTGACTCCTAATTGTTTTATTTTTCTTTCATGGCAGCCCACTGATGGTCTTGGTACAAAGAACTGCTTATGTGGCTTTCAGTGTCCATGATGGTGAGAACAAGCTTTTTAACTGATCTGCAAGCAGATGTTCCAACCATGTTCATGAAATAACATAGTTATATAAATTTCAGTACTCCAATTTTTTTACCATTTTATATTTGTTGGTTTGATTATTTTATTTTTTAGTCATTTCAATTGTGCTTGCCTGATCATATAGGCTTGGCAAGGGATGAAAGCAAGCTTACAGAGGAACAAAGAAGAGAAAGGCTCAAGTTAGTTGTTAAACCTCAGTTCTGAATCTTTTGGCTTTGCATGTTTATATTCACACAAATTAATACCAAAACAATCTGTGTTTATACAGACAGTTGTTTCCGGTAGTCTTGAATGGCCTTTTGTTTTATAACAAAATGAGCCAAAATCAGAAGGCAGGCCCTTGGATCCCACATTGGGAGTTTAAGCAAACTTGACGGAAACATCGAGAACAACTTTGGTTAAAAATAATTTAGAAAACTTTTCGAAACTTTATGACCCTTGACCGTGTCTGGTGTTTTGGGCGATCGGCCAGTGTGATATCCGGAGCCAAAAATTACGCGGAGTCTGGGATTTGCAGATTCTCGGAAGATGCGATCGCTCTCCGAGCATAATGGAACTGCGAGCGACTTTGAGCGTCGCCCCGAGCAGTTTCGGAGGAAATTTTCGGTTCCGCATCTTGGTCCACCCCAGATCTTGCACTGACTGACGGCGTATTTAAAATTCAAAATGGCCTGGACAAAACACAAGAGGAGAGGTTATCTTTTATTCATATTCTAAGCGGCTTTTGCATTGTCACAAGTTCGATGCCACAACACTCGCTTGCACTTAAATTCTACATACAGGTATTCTAGTACTACTCAAAATATTCTCAACTGGTAATTTTGTAATTTTACTATTTTCCTGTGCAGAAAAGTCCCCTCTCTGTTGGAATATTTCAGCTACTTGTTCCACTACAGTACGATACTAGCAGGACCTGTTTGTACCTTCAGGGAATTTAATGATTTTATTGATGGATCAGACATCAGACCAAAGGTGATTTATTTAATATTGAGTGGCATCATGTAAAGGTTTAATAACAGTTACACTGTTTACTATCTTAATTTTTGTTTTAAAACCGAAGTTCCCAGATTTTGCTCCAAACAACAAGCCACCCTTACCACATTTTCAAGGTTCTCCAATCCTCAGCCCAAAATCTGTACAATCTTTGATTTTCGAACAGCCTCATCTGAGAGACTTCGGCCTGCAATCCGTAGATCTTGAAACAGTAGCCTGCTGAACAGGCGAATTAGCGGAGCAGACCGTGAAGCGTGATACACGAGCGTGAAGCAGGCTATTGAAACAGAGTCGCAGTGTAAATTGAAGGACGTTTTTGTGTGATTATCATGAAGTAAAATGATATCATTTTATACGCATTTTTATCGCATGCCGCGATTGATGCAGCCAATCAGAAAAGTGGAAAGCCGTTGCATATTTGACGATACCCCATAGGTTGAAAGTCATGGTTCAGTTTCCCGCCGTAATCATCTGGGGCCGGTTGTTCGAAGGGTGGATAACGCTAAGTTAAGTTAAGTGTGTTGTTAAGTGTGACAAAACAAACCAGGATATTTATTGGATACTGATTTATCCAGTGGATAGCGTTATCCACCCTTTGAATAACCAGGGCCTGTTGTGTGGCGTTCGCATCAACATCTGAAGTTGCTGCGTCCCGCCAAGATCAGTTTCAGTGTATGCAATAATTAATTTTGTGGTATATACCGTGACGACCGTGAGGCGGTAACTAGGGATTTTTTGCTAAGGCCACGTCCACACTGCCGGAGGAATTTGAAAACGGAGGTATCACTTTGAAAACGCAACAAATGTTTTCCGTCCACACTACGCCGTAGGCGCAATAATCCGACTGGTCATTTTGGTTTTGTGTTTGAGGAAAAATCGGTCGGGGAAATCACATGATTGCCGTGACCACATCGTTTTCGTAAAGCTCCGTTTTAAAACAAATATTTTCCGCCCACACGAAAACGAAAAGCCGGCGTTTACAAATTCATCCAATTTGAAGAGCGTTTTCGAAAATCTCCGTTTTCGTGACGTATTGGTGTGGACGGCAGGCCTAACCGTAGAAATTAAATTCCTCCGTTGTAGTGTAGGCGGGGCCTAAGCCAGCGTGATAGCCTAGTAGCTCGGAGTCTTTTTAAACTCAATTGTCATGAAAGATTTTTAAAATTTAGCTACAATTGACAAGCTTAAATTTTCAGTTAGTAACAATGTAATTTTATTTCATAGGACCCAGGCCAGAAAGAACCATCGCCAATGGTGAGTTTTTTAAAAATATATTCACAACTATCATTGTGCTGTGTGTTTTTGCGCTGACTTGAAAGGACGCTGCTGACAAGACGATCGGTCTTGTTCGGAAAAGACGGTCGGTCTTGTTCGGAAAAGACGGTCGATCTTGTTCGGAAAAGACGGTCGGTCTTTTTCGGAAAAGATGATCAGTCTTATTCGGATAAGACGATCGGTCTTGTTCGGAAAAGACGGTCGATCTTGTTCGGAAAAGACAGTCGGTCTTCGGAAAAGATGATCAGTCTTGTTCGGATAAGACGATCGGTCTTGTTCGGAAAAGACGGTCGGTCTTGTTCTCGGAAAACAAAGTCCTCAGTACACACCTCGCACTGCATTTATTGTGGATGAGAGTGTAAAATGAGATCACATGATTACTTTGGTTTGATTTCTCTATTTTACAGCCAGTTTTCAGAATTGCGTTCCCACGGTGCTGTGAAAAAAAAAAACCCGTTCTTGTCCTTGGATTCAGAAGAGTTTCACTAACTGTTAAAGTAACATGGCTTTTCTGTTTTGGGTTTACATAGAGTGATGTACTAAGGAAAATAATGGTCAGCTTGGTGTGTGTAACCGTTATTCTACTCACTGGATCAAATTATCCTATTGCCAGAAATGGAGGTACTGGAAAGTGATTTTTTGAATTCTTACTTTTTTCAGTCTTTTGCGACTAAATCGAGCAGTTTGTCATATGTATTTTATTTTTTGTCATCATCTCTTATTGGTATTAATTTTCTGTAAAGTATAGCAGATATAAAAAGAGATGTCCGTCTTTGTTTTTATTTTGATCAATGTTGTAATGCGTACAATTGCGACAAAAGCCCTCAAAAGCCCTCAAAAGCCCAGTGGCATAACCCCATAATTTTTTCTTCAATTGTAACAACCCCAATCGTTTGCTAAATCCAGGACTCATTTTCTTGCGGAACTTTGCGATACATTTTTCGCGACGCCATGACGAAATTTTCACGATTTTTTTCTCAATATCGACCGAGCTAAGAATAAATTAGGTAGTTTAGTATCTTTCCTCTTTCCTTTTATTGTACAGTTCACTTTTAAACTCAGTGCCTCGTGGTCTTTCCTCGCAGATCCAGAATTCATCAGGTCCCACCATTTTCTTTGGAGAGTTTTGTATTCCTGGATCTCCATACTTTCCGTTAGAATGAGATATTACTTCGCTTTTACGTTGGGTAAGAAGCAATTTTTGTGAACCCTGATTTCGTTTTGTTTAACGCTTACTAGCAGTAGTCGTAGTTGTTGTTGCTGTTGTATGGCATGATATAAAATAGTTATGCAACCTCTCTCTCGTGGTTTACATAATTATATCTTATTAGATGTTTTGGTGTGTAGTATCGCTGTATATTTTTACGAGTTGTGCCGTATTTTGACAAGCCCGTACAAACGAGTAAAAATATATAAAAGCGATACTACACACCAAATCATCTAAAAAGATACATGTATTTTCGAAAAATACACGCAACCTGCTGATGCCTGTCTTGTAAATTTTTTTTTTTTGGTTTCAGCTGAGGCCGTTAACAACATGTGTGGACTGGGGTTTAATGGTTATGACGAGAATGGAAAAGGCAAGTGGAACCGAGTTACTAATGTCGATATTCTCAAACTTGAGGTACGTTTATCCCTTTCACGTATGTAGTTGTATGTACGTAATGTGTTTCTTTGGAAATGCCTCGAATTTTATCCACAGTGTCACAATTTTCTGATTTCTTTGTCTTGTCTCACACAGTTTGCAACAAACATGAAGCAAGTGTTGGACAACTGGAATATTTGCACAGTGTTGTGGTTAAGAAGGTGAGTTCACTGTTTTTTCTTAAATAACGTATGGTTACGTCAAAAGGTGGCAAATTTACCGTAGACCAAGGCAGGGGGTAAAATGGAATATACAGTTAATTCTTGTTCTCGTAAATAAGCTCGTCCCTTTCCCCCCGGTTTTTTCCCGGGTAACCTTGCCCTCCTTTTCTTCAGGTTAGCGCATCCTCTCCCTTAGATTAGTTGGTTGTCTTATCCCCAGACTAGCTCGGTATAAAGAACGAAAATAAACGCAGAACGAAAACGGCAAACTGAATTTCTTACTGTACAGAAGATCCCAAATTATTCTGTTACTGTACTTATCAGTTTTCGCTGGGACGCGCGGTGGCCTCATGTAACGATCATAGTTAGTGCGTCCGACTCTGCATCGAGCGGTCCCGGTTCGAGCCCTGGCCGGGGACACTGTGTTTCTCTCACAGTGCCTCTCTCCGTACCCAGGTGTATAAATGGCTAACGGCGATTTTCGTTAATGCTAAGGGTAACCCTTCGATGGACTAGCATCCCTTCCACGGGGAAGTAGAAATACTGCTAGTCGTTTCATGCTACACAAACCGGAGCCTGAAGTGCCGGCCTGATGGGCCGCTTGGCTCGTATGCAGACTTTACTTTTCAGCTTCCAGTTTTGTTATCAACTAAGGTCATTTTTACCATGAGACCGGGTTAGCCAAAAAATCTTTATTCGCAAGTTTATATTTGAAATATATGATTGTTTTATCCTCTTTCAGAATAGTGTATGAGCGAGTCCCACACCACCGCACTCTAGCTGTGTTCGTAATGTCAGCTTTCTGGCATGGGTTTTACCCAGGATACTACATGGCCTTCGCTACATGTGGACTGATGGTTGAAGCTGCGAGAAAGGTGAGCCCGTAATCATATAATTTACACTGACAACTGTAAAATAGCAAGCAAACAAAAAGTGCAAAGAAAGAATAACGAATAAAGTTCAAGAAGAGGTCTGATTTGACGAAATTATTAGGACAGGAATTTTAAAAGTTTATTTACAACTCACTGCAAATGCAAATGCAAATGTGCAATTTGAAGCAACCGGAGAAAAACGCGGCAAAGTAAGCTATTGGTTTCCCGCGGGAAAGGGCGGGAAAGTTGGCGCAAAGACACGTCAAGATTGATGTTGGGCGTGTTAGCATGACCGAAAAGACCATAATTTTAATTTAACTGACTGAGCATATTGGGCGAATGTCCTAAGCCAATGAAAGGATGCCTGGGCCTTTAACAGCTCTATCAATTCCAAGTTCATGATTGAGTGACCATTTTACGTTCCTCAGGTTCGTCGAACTTGCAGGCCTTCTTTCCAGAGATCACGTGTCGCTTCTCGTGTTTATGATGTTTTGACATGCGCAGTGACCATCTCTTGTTTGACGTTCACCACCATCCCATTTGTAGCTTTGGAATTGAGCATTGGCCTGGACTACTGGCGGTAATTGCTCTTATTTGTTTTCAATTTTGTCGGTGAAACTAATTGAGAAGCACGTTAGTAGTCGATTTACTGTTGTCGTTACCATATGACTGTGATATGAACTTCGAAATGAGTTTTGAGAATTGTTCAGGTGAGTAGGTTATCGTTAGAGTCTTGTGATTCAAGTACCCGCAAGGCCGCAGACATAGACTTTGTCTCAAAGTTGTTTGTCTTTGTCCATTAATAGTTCCTAATCCTAGAACAATAGCCCCCATCGGTGATCATGTTTGGGTTTGTCTACTGACCTTGCTTAGGCCGGCCCTCCACTAAAGTTCCTGTTTTGGCGTCAGTTCTCAAAGTTTGGTTGTTGTACTAGTGGTATCAAGTGCTTTGCTATTCATTTGTGGAAGTCGCGTGAAATTGTTTGGGTCAGTGTTCTACAGAGATGTTTGACTGGCTGTAAGGTCGGTTAGCCCGGCTACCCACAAATGCCTATTGATCGATTTATGTTCTTGAGAAAGACAAAAACTTTACTTCAGTAATTTTCTCCAACAAGTAACCTGACAAAACGCTGAGGGGAGGGGGGAAGGGGTGGTTAGAGTTTAACTAAGATAGACTACCGACCTATCGGGGGAGGGTAGGCAATACTTTGGCATTGCTGCAATACGCTAAATGTTAAATGAACTACCTTGAAAAGTTTAGCTTAAATTTTTTCAAGTTCATCGTTTATAATCCGTGTCAATCTTCTCCATCCTCAGCCATCCTCGTTGTTTTATGTTTTATTATTATCTCTTTGGTGTTTTTCTGTCCTAGAAAACTAATAGTTTTAGGTTTCCTTCAATTGAAAAGTATTTTTTTAATAACTAAAAGTAACGAGACTGAACTCCTTCTAGGGAACTGGAGTGAAGCGCTGACCTTTAGAGACTGCACGTTTTCGTATAGAAGAACATATTTTTTTTATCCGTATTCTAAGTGCTAACGATAATCCTGATTCTTGTTCTACAGTTCTATGTATTACTTCGGACACGTTTGGTGCTTTGTAGCACTTCTTTTTCTGCCTGGCGGTAAACCCAAGACTCATCCCAAAGTTGAGGAAAACACACAAGCAACAGCAGAGGAGAAAGATGAGCAGAACAACTCAACTACAGACGAGTTCATCGAGCTTCGCCACAGAGTCAACAAGAAACTTGAAGCGCAAAATAGGCAAGAGAGACTGCTCTACGCCGGCGCGCGCAATTCCTTGCTGAAAGAGAACTTGATGTGGGGCCTGCGACTGCTAAGAACGAGATAAAATGTGTTAGAGGTCGTAATCAAGGACACATCAAGCGGCCGACATGAAGAAAAAGTGTACATTGAGCGGCCAAGATATGGCAAGAAGGCTTACGGCTGGTTTTCATTTGATCGCTACTGCGATTGTGTTGGTTAGCGGTTTCTCGTATGACTGTTGGTAGCACGTTGTTTTAGTCCGCCATGTTGGATCGCCTAGCGAATAGAGTGTAGTTAAACTAAAACCAAACCAATTTCTTACCAGTTAGACTACTAAGCCATAGTCTCAAACCGTAGTAAAACCACAACCAAAACCAAAGTAATTGCCTGATTACTTTCGACACTCAATTAAAAAACGCTCTAAAGGATTGTTCTGTTGTTAATTCTGACCACTAGACCATCGTAGAAATGGTTTTTTTTTTACAGCGATCGAAGCGTTTATCTGGAAACGAGCCTTTAGAGAACCCTGAATGCAGTTTCCCGTCCTTAGTTAAAAAAAAAAAAAAAAAAAAATGTGTCATGGTTCCTTGATTGTCAAAATATCCAAAGTGATATGTACTTTTCAACATTTATAAATTTTAACTCTCTTTTTAGCCATTCATTTNAAAAAAAAAAAAAAAAAAAAAAAAAAAAATTACAAAATTCTCGTGTTCGTAGCACATTTCTGCTGACGAAAAAGTAGCAGCGGTACATTTTGTTAATGACGAGAAATGAGTAGCTACATAACCAAGGGTTTTACTAAGTTTCAACATGTTTTGAGAAGTAATCTCGTTACGATTTTTTCTACAACAAATAATATTGTTTAACAGAACGGGACCAGTGTTAAGGGCGGTCATATTTAATTTATATTATAACTTGGTCAGCTGATATTAATATATTGTCAATTAAGTAACTTATTTTATATCATGTAAGTAGTCCGATTTGTAAAGGAAAATATGCAGTGTACCATTAGCCAAACAAAAGTTTTTCAGCATGGTTGGATTAAAAGAAAATATACAACATTAGATGCAGTTTTGTACTTGTCATCGATCATGGCTTCCATTTGCCAGTACAACTGTCCGCTCAGTGACCTGGCCTTTGAATGGCAGCGAGGCTTGAGGTGACCTTGCTTTGATATAGACCTCGCTGTTTTTGTTGTGTAAATCAAGTTGTTCTTATGCTAACTTGTTTGCATTTAGATGAGAAAAGCAGAAAGGTGTGTATCAAAGCAAGGTCATCTCCAACCTCGTTTGCATTCATAGACCAGGTAACTGGGCACACAACTGAAAAATAACGTATTATTTTTTTTTGTACTTTTTTTTTTCTAAATAACCTACTCTATTGCTGGTTTTCACTCTCATGACATCAAAAATAAGGCCGAAGGCCACTCAATAAATTAAGTCAAGAGTCTGAGATATGATTGATATATAAACAACCTCGCCAAGAATAAGGTCTCACGGTTTTTAATACTTGATTTCTTCAGAAAAATATTTAACCCAAACTTATAGAGCTTTGTATGAAGACGCCATGTTGGTGACCCTCGGAAAGGGGTGTGNGGGGGGCACTTGTATGACGGCCGAAAATTTAAATAGATTTTGCACTTAAAGAAAAGCAGTGCAATTTTCAATTATAATTAATACAAACTTTGCAAAAGGAAAGCAAACTAACTTTAGTTATTTTAATTTGCGATTATCGCGATGTAAAGCATTGTTGTTCGCCGCGCTGGGCAGAGGAACATTAGTGTGGATCTCAGGTTTGCTTGAGTGCTGTGACGTCACTGACACGTCAGCATTTTTAGCTTCATGGGATGGCTTTGGTCTCTCGACGCTAAAGATAATGAGGCCGCCAATCAGAAGAATGTGGCCAATAAAGTACGTTGACCTGGTAAAGAGGATTTAGTTGGATTAATACACCGCATATATCCTTACATGGTCAATTAATTGCCTAACAAATATTTAACAATTTGATTATGAGCTCGAAATTTCTGTCGCGTGAACCCATCACGTGATAGTTGACGAGGGCGCAGCCCGGGTGTTGCAGCTATCACGCATAAAAAACGAGAGCGAAAAATCGATCTAATTGTTTTAGTATGATTATGCTAATCGTTTAAAACTTTGTGTAAATTCTCTGCACAGACACTTCGAACACGTAAAGAAGTGGCCACTATTTTGTTAACAAGGGCACACTGCTAGGCTACTCACTATCTCCTCAACAATTAAATTATGAGCTCGAGATTTCTATGAGGTGATAGTTGATGAGGCCGAAGACCGAATCAACTATCACCTCATAAAAATCGAGAGCGAATAATCTAATTGTTTCAGTAGAATTCTTACTAAAATTTACTTCAAATAACGGTTTCGAATTATTTCTTGACGTATTATTCAACTCTGCGCCTGAAAAAGGTCGCTCGGATTGAATTGTCATTTAAAATTGTAGCTGTGTGCGCGCACACATCAGTTTTTTTTTCAATAATTTCAACTTTTTTTGATAAATGTCAAGAAACCGAAAATGTCCTTCATTTTGACTTCTCAGGAATTTAATTATCGATTTATATAAAAATTTTCCTCCAAAACTTTGGAAAAACGAAAAGAAAACGCCATCTCCTAGACGACCTCCAGCCACTGCACACTAATTGCTGACAGTGTTCAATGGTTCAGCCAATCAGATTACAGCATATGCATTAGTATACTAGTAGAATTCCACTAAAACAGAATAGATAGTGAGTAGCGTAGCCAATAAGAGAACGGCATTCATGATAGAACGCTAGTAGATTTAAACTAAACACCATTAACGCGCAATTGGATAGAGCTATGAATCAACCTCGTTCCCAGTGCTTTCCCTTAGATATTGGGAGGGGCAAAAAAGTCCTGGGAACGAGGTTGAGCCACGAATCAATAGCATGCAATCAGCTTACCTGTAGAAAGTGAACGCGAGATCCAATCGTAGAAACACAAACGACACAAAGCAGTACGTGATTAAGAATGCGTTACAAACGAGCCATAAAAGAAAATCAAACAAGCGCGTCTTGATTGGAGACATGTCACGAAACACGTGACCGTAAGTACGCCTTGCCTGTAACAAAAGAAGCAAATTCAGTCACCTTAAAGGGCTATTAGTAAAGTGATTGGAGGGTTGGGATTTCTTGAGCTGCAAGCATTTTTCTCGGTGAAATTTCAAGGTGATTTTAACGTAATATATCAAACACTCGAGACAGTTTTTCATCGAGATATCCAGTCACCGAGAAGAGGGATAAAAATACGGCGCGCAGCGGAATACATTTGACGAAATTCGAGGTGTTTGGATATCCCGATGAAAAACTGTCTCGAGTGTTTGATATATCTTCTCAATCGAAACAAAAACTAAGGAGTAAAATGAGAAGTAAAATCGTCAAAATTTGAAAATTTGGTATTACTTCAAGACGATATCCAAAATAGATGTTTTCTATATTATCATCACTTGTGTGCTTGCCAATGTGTTGACACTGTAAGGAGAAATGAGCTGTTGATCCTGGTATAAGATTTTTGTTACATTACTACAGCTGTTAGGAGTGAGACTTACTTTTTTCGATACAACCATCAACATCCCAGCCGATGTAACTGTAAGGAGATAGCCAGGATATATTCCGTGCCATATGCATGACGCAGCTAATGTGAAGAAAGTCTTTTGATAAGGAACTCGCTCGTAAATAAGCCTGGTAAAAGAAAAGCCAACAAGATTACAAGAAAAGACATGACAGTGTAAATTCTGTTCTTTACAGCGGTCAGAAGTATGGCGCGCGCACAGTTCAGTTGAGTGCGCTCGCTGGCCAAAATATTCCTGCATCGCAGGCTATTGCGACTGTTAATCGTGCTATCTCCTCTTAATATTCAGAGCTAATATTTTAGCAGGTCTATCAGAAACTGAATGCTAATCAAGCAAATATTGCAAACAAATATTCCTCTATTCCCCTGGACGGGATGCTTGTCCTTTCCAGGCTCCCTCCCCTCCCTGAAGATTCGTCAGGTTGCCCCCCTCCCCATCAGCTCCTTTCTTCAGTTATAAACGTTTTCCCAGTTTAATCTCTTCTCGACTTCCTGATATTATCTCGCCTTGAATTATTGACTCAAAAGGGCGAGAAAGAAGCTTACCTCTTTAGCCAAATGTTGGTTTGTATGTTCCAGTTGTTGACCATGTGCCTGATACTTGTTGCTTTCTGGTAAAAAGTAAAACAAGAAACAAGCTCAAAGATGATCACCAGTCCATAATATACATACTCTGCATGATGTTCAGTTTTGTGTGATTCCACCATGGAATTTTAGGTCCCGTATACACAACAACGGAGGAATTTGAAAACGCAGCTTTATTTCTACGGTTAGACCTACCAAACGCACTAATCTGTCACGAAAAGAGACCTTTTCGAAAATGCTCTTCAAACCGGGGGAATTTGAAAACGCCGGGTTTGCGTTTTCTTGTGGACGGAGAACATTTTGAAAACGGAGCTTTTCGAAAACGATGACCTCACGATGATCATATGATTTCCCTAACCGAGTTTTCCTCAAACACAAATCCAAAATGACCAGTGATTGTTGCGCTATTAGGGAGCTTAAGCAATGACGTCGGCAACGCCAAGGACGACGGCTGGAAAAAAATGGACTTAAATTTTATTAAAATTATCTAGAACTGTTCTGCAAGCCAAGCGGTCTTAATTCTAGAAGAAAATACGAAAAATTAGCCGTAGTGGATCACGTTCTTCAAAATACCCAAAACTTGGTCATTTCACGTTGTTGTTTTGCAGAGGACGGCAATGAAATGTACAAAGATTTACTAATAACGCACGTGCACAGCTATTGTTTTGCTCATTAAACCTCTTGTTTGACGACGTTTTCGTTGCCGTTACCCTCGTGGTTTGCTTAAGCTCCCTTTGAAATTCTTCCGGTGGGTGTAGTGTGGACAGAGCCTTGGTCGCCAGATTATGAACTTCATTGGTCATTTAACTCATAGTTAACCAGAGAAACGTGTTGGTTACATGCATAGCGTATGAGCGCAAAACAAAAGGTTGTGCACGGTCGTGGACGCAACGCTTTTCCCCCGATCTTGCTACTTAACGCTTTCCCCATCTAACCACGTAACGATTCCCCCCAATCTCGCCACGTAACGCTTTCCCCAATCTCGATCCTTGTGCGGAGCAACAACTTTAGCAGACCCAAAAAGCACAGACACTGTTGACAATATTGTAAAATAGACCATTTTACAGTTGTCTGCTCAGTACCCGGCCTTTGACAGTGGGGTTTAAAGTTTGCATTTAAATTAGAAAATAAGAGAGGTCTGTATCAAAGCACGGTCACCTCCGGCCTCGCATTTATAGGCCACGTAACTGAGCACACAGCTGTAAGATGGCCTATTGTTCTTTACTTATTAGTTTTCTCTTTTTTCACATCATTAGAAATCGTTATTTTAAGGAGAAAATGAAAAATGATCTTCACTGACCTCAACCTCCAGAGCATTGACATTAGTTATTCGGTTCCAGAGCTCTCTCCCATTTGAATCATAGCCATTGAATCCTAGCCCGCATGCGTTATTACCTGCATCCGCTGTAGAGGACAAGTCGTAACACCGTGAAAATTTTAAAGAGAAAAATTATGAATAGGCCATTTTCGATATTTTGAAATTCAAACTTGGCTCCAAGGCTCAGAAGAATAAAACAAAGGAAATATTAATAAATTAGTCATCTCTCAAACTCGGTGCGATTTCTTTTGTTTTATTCCCCTAAGCTTAGAAATCACGTTACAATTTAAATAAATTTCGAGATTGGTCTATCGTGTTCAACGCTTTTGACATGGCGAGAATCTCATTTATATGGCTAGCTCCGATGCCCCAAATCCTGCGCTGTCATTGGCTACCCGCGCGGGCAAGATGGCGCTATCTTACCTACTCGGGATTACCCGCTGTGTCACGCAAGAAAATAGTGTTCTTTTTCCATACAATAAATCCTTTATTCACCGAGTTTTTTCGGCCAAGATGGCTGGATATTGGCCTCGTTCTTTTTTTGTGAGTTCATGGACCTCAATTCCACCAGTCTCGGTCCATGAAAACACAGAAAATAACTTGGCCAATACCCAGCCATATTGACCTCACGCTTGGTAAATAACCCACATATCTTACCGACTGTCCAGGCAAAATAGAACTTCAATCTTACGACCATCATAGATAAAGACACGAATGCTATTCTCCATAAGAAAGAGCTATTGGCGATGAAATAGGGATCTGAAAAATATATGACATGAAAAATAAACCCTTAGGCTTACAGAGTATTTTTTAACCACCGTCGTGGAACGAAGGCTTAACTTAAAGCAATGGCTAAGTCGATTATCGTGAAGACGAATCGTGCAGTCAGCAATGATTAGGGCCCACATTAAAGTCATTTAGATACAATCTTATAATTTTAACGTGTTTGGCGCTTCTGGCAGTATTTTTTAAAAGCTGCTGCTGATTTTCAGATTGCTGAGATAATGTTCTAATTGAAGTTTTTAAAATTAGAACTGGAGCAGATACCATTTCTGTTTGTTAATTTCGACACTGGCAACAATGTATCAAAGAAAAACACTTTTAAAGGTGAACATATCTAAAGGCAAATTTAATTCTCTGATTACCGCCTGTTAGAGCTGCTATTTTAGGTAATAAGTGCATATTTTCTTTTGTGAAACCAATACAAGTTAGTCCTAAACTTTTATCGACTATGGTCCTAAACTCACTTGGTCGAAGTTGTTGCTGTGCCCGGGATGATGGGGGTACTCCCTTATATGGGTTATGTAGGTACGTGGCGTCCCAAAGGGTATGGTGTTTGACCATTTTGGTCTGAAGGGTATGTCTTTTACTCTGGCTTGGCATTGGGCATTTTGTTTATAAGAAACTACTTTCCCCACATCAACACTGGCAATTTTGTAGCCCTTCTCAAATGTTTACGTAAATGGAAGCCATTTCTGGTTAGGTGGGGTCATACATAAAAGTCGTGTACTAATCTTAGGTGTCTGAAATGGGGTATCGATTTATTGCTTTGGTCTGAAATAGGGTATAGAAAACCAGATTTTAGTCTGAAATAGGGATTTGGTTTCAAGGTTTGGGCCAAAAAACTCCACCACCACCCCGACCCACTCTCACCCTTGGGGAGTACCACCCCCAGGGTTTCTGTAGGGGCGTTTACCTGCATTGAGATAGAAAGGAAGTATTTTTGACAAAAAGGCGAAAAGAACCATGCACAGGAGACTGAAGGAGAGCTTGGTTAACACAGCATTCTGAAAAGAAAGTGGAATTGATATATTGTTAACATTAACACACGAGATAAAGAACATCGTCAGGGCCGGGTTGTCACGGAAGGCCGGTCAACGCTAACCCAGGATTACATGTAAAAGTTAACCGAAGAATGAATGAATTTTCTTGTATAAATTTTTTTTCACTGACTATGTTTTGTGAAGTTTGAGATTATTCAAACTCAAAACAGAAGGCCAAACAATATCAACAGTGAAACCTCACCGAAAAGTTGCAAAACTGAAATAAAAATTCTCGCAAATCCTGGGTTAGCTTAATCAGACTTTGAACTACCCGGAGGGGTTTCAAAGTCGGCTTAACTTACCACAGGGGAAGGTTCCTGTCTCATTTTCTAATAACAAAAGAAAATACAAGGAGAAAACGAGTCATTATTACGATAAAGACTGCGACTCAAGAATTAAAACCATGTTGAAGCCATGTTTAAGCTATGTTAAAACCTCGTATCAGAACAAATATTAATGAAGCGACACTGCCAATTTTTTAACAGGAGGTTTTGAGAATCTCCAAAAGATATTCAAATTATATATGTTCAGGGATTATTGTCTCACTTTGAAGAACAGTTTTATACACGTGACAGCAGCTCATTAAGAACGGAGGATGGCTAGCGATGAGGATAACAGACATGGATCACAATCCTCCGTAGGAAAAAAGATGGCGGCTGTACAAGCTTTCAGCTTTAATCTTCACCGTGTTCAAATAAATTGTATTGTATTGTATTTTACCACAATACCATGCGAGCCTAACAGAGCCCATAAAGTACAAGGAAAACCAAATTTTTGCAATATTTGTCCCTGCGCTATCATTGTGTATTTTAGGTTTGAAGATGTTACAACTTTTCTACACGTTTTAATGAGCGTTGTTTAAGGTTTTGAGCACTAATATAAGAATTATGCGTAAATGTACCAGTCGCCATCTCTTTTTCCTACGGAGAGTTGAAATGGACATACTTTAAAACGTAAGGTTCAGATGTACTTTTTGTTCACAAAAATCGCTTTCGACGGTTGAGAGACACTCAATGCCCGATCTCGTTTAAGTTACAATGATATGAGTAGACTTTGGCAATTTTGAGCTGAAAATGTACTCAATAGGCCATTTCCGAGTGACGTTGTGCCTCTGTTTTAAACAAGTCCTCGTGCAAAACCTTTCATATGGAAAGGAGTTTGATCTGCATGAAAATGAACCTGTAGGCGAACTCATTTCATTATTTGAATGGTTTCGCACGAAGACTCGTTTTGAGACACAGGCAAAAGCCAACTCGGAAATAGCCTATTTAAGAGACATGCCGCTGACCTGTTCTGTAGCACGTGCGATATCGCGGCCCTCTATGAAGTCTATGTAATCACTGAAGGTACATGCAGGACCTGCTAACAGCATGCTGTGGTGAAACGTATAACCAAAGTATTCCAGCAGTGAAGGTACGCGCCTGTCAAAACAAGTGAAGGTATTTAGCCCTTGTTTCCTTATCTCTCTGACTTTCAGAGACTGCTCTTCGAATGCTGCAACAAAATCGGTCGGGAAAAAAGGTGCAGAATCCAGACTAATCCAAAACAAAAGCTATACGTAGGCGTACGGTCACGCTACGGGATGAAGGCGCGCGGTGACCTTCTTCCTCGACACCCTCCACCCCACCCCCCCGAACACACAAAAAAATACACAATGCTCAAATGGCCAAGTGGTTTTGGTTTTACTTCTGATTGGATGATTAAGTGGCGCGATTTTTAGCCAACTGCGCTGCGCATGCATACTAATGCGAAACCAAAGTGAATGCGAATTACTTTCGATACTCAAGTGAAAACCACTCTGGTTGAAGTTAATCGTAAAAACGGAGTTAGGTTTATTGCTGGTAAGCATCAATTTTTAAGGGTTGAGGTCAGTTTAGGTTGGGGTGTGTCTGTTTGCAGTGCGCAATGCGCTACTTCACAAGGAATACTACGAAAATCTGTCGCAACCTATCCTGGTTGCCCTCAATGCGAGAACTGGGGTGAGCTGAGGTTTTTTTTTTTGTCAAATGAAACAGAAAAAAAAAAGAACACTTACTTAATGCTTTGTTCCTTTTGATCTTTAGTAAGTTCATCCTCTTTTCTTCCAAGACCTGACATAGAAGATCACGTGTGTGAATCAACTGCCCGTATTTGTTTCCCGCACGGACGGAACAAGTTTGAAACCTTATCCTATTTCCGCGGGAATATGAAGAGCACACTCTATAAGAAACCGTTTTACAGTTCTGTGCTTAGTTACCTAGCCAATGAATGCAAGCGAGGCTAGAGGTGACTATGCTCTTGTACACACCTCTCTACTTTTCTCATTTAAAAGCCAACTAGTTAGCATAAGAACAACTTGATTTACACAACAAAAACAGTGAGGTCTGTATCAAAACAGGGTCACCTCCAGCCTCGCTGTATTCAAATGCCAGATCACTGACCAGGCAACTGTAAAATGGTCTATTGAATGATTAGTATCACCCAACTAGTGGACAAATGCAAATCCTGCATTTTAATTGGCTACGCTACTAGAGGACTATTAGCAATAGTCCTCGAGTAG